CAGAGCTCTGCCAATTACCGAACTGGTCGCGGATCTTGTCCACCCGATTTTGTTTTTTTCCTGCTCGTCGCTCGGGCGTGGAAAAATTTAGTATTTTTGTCCCCGTCTCTCACCCACTGAGCCTTACTTCTTTGCCTCCAGTACATGTCACGGTCCCCCATCAATTTCTCCAACTGACCTTGAAGTTCGCGGTATTCAGCCCTAGTAGTCGTCGTTTGTCGCATGTCACGCAATTTATTAATTCTTTGAGTGATTTCTTTAATCTTTTTGTCGGGAGCCTTGACCACAGCCTCGGTCCATTGCATCAAAGCCATCCTACAATCCGTAGTACGCTGCAATAGCGTCGACACATCATCTGACCCCTGGCCCGATTCCCACGATCGCTGAACAATCTCCTCGCAATCACTCATACTTGCCCACATTGCCTCGAAACGGAAGGGCCTCTTCCTCCCAAGTCTTGTTCTAGGTTCAATCGCTTGTGGAATCAATAAGATTGATGAGTGGTCTGATCCAGTATGATCAAGATGTCGGACCACTGCATGGGGAAAAAGACCCGCCCACGGCCTGTTCACACAAACCCTATCCAGACAGCTCCGAACAGTATGCGGATGTTCGCGATTGTTGGTCCAGGTAAATTGTTTGCCCTCCCATCCAATGTCTGAAAGTCCGCAGTCGTCAAGAGCTTCCCTAAAAATCTCCATGAAATGAGGCTCACGAGCTGGTCCTCACATCTTCTCGGATGCATGAAGAATCTCGTTAAAATCACCCCCCACAATCCATGGTAACTGGTTTTGCCCTCCTAGTGTGCGAAGAAGTTCCCACGACAGACGTTTGCGTTGCTTCTCCGGAAAACCATAAAAGCCGGTTAACCTCCATTTTTTAAGACTCACAAGGCATTCCACCGTCACGTCAATGAAGTACTGCGAATAGGCTCTCAAATCAACTGCCACATCTTTGCTCCAGAGTAATGCTAATCCCCCGCCATTGGTCGTACGATCACCAGCAAACCCAAATAGATTCCACCGTTGTTTTACCCTATCAATCAACTGTGGTGTCGCTTTAGTTTCGTAAAGAAACACCACCTGAGGGTTGTGTACTCGGAGAATCTCTCCGAGTGTATGAATTGTCAAGGGACCCCCAAGCCCTTGACAATTCCAAAATAGACAATTCATTGTTGTCGGCGCGACTGCTCCGCAGTCTCCGCCGTTGAGATAATGTCCTCGTCCATTAAGGTCAAGCATGGTTTTTTGGGATCCCTGTTCACGTCGATATCCTCGTTAGAGTCAGCTTAACTATACAACAGTTTAACACAGTAATATTGCTATATTAATATCTACCACAGTAATATTAACACAACAAAACTCATTATTATTGTGTAATAGAGTAATATTACTATGTTGACCGTTCAACAAATGTAAACATAATAAAAAGTCAAAAGAATTAATATTACTGTGAGTGACAGTAATATTACTATAACAACAGTATTATTACCGTCAACCACAGTAATATTACAATAATAGACATTAATATTATTACGTTACTCCGTGCATAACTCAAACAAACAAAAAAATCCAAACAAAATAATAATATTGATGTGATTTTCAGCAATATTACTATAACAACAGTAATATTACCGTCAAGCACAGTAATATTATTGTGTTTACAGTAATATTACAATAATAGACAGTAATATTATCGTGTTTACAGTTACTTTACTGTCAACGACAGTAATATAATTATGTTGACTTGTCAACAAAATAAAAAAAAATAACAAAAAATAATAAATAATAATATTACGTTAATTTACTGTCAACGGCAGTACAATTATGTTAATTAACTGTCATTGACAGTATAATTACGTTAATTTACTGTCAGTGACAGCACAATTACGGTCAACGTTTAGCGGCGGACGTAAAAAAAAATAAAAAAATAAAATAAAATCAACGCCCGAATCCGGCAGCAAAATTTTTTTTTTGAAAAAAATAGTTTTCGAAAAAAAAAGTCAAAATTGAATTTTTGTGCTCAAAATTGAATTTTCGTAGACAAAATTGATTAAATTGGGGTTATAATTAAGAATTGGGTATAAAATGTTGGGGGTAATATTGGCATATACATGTATGTTTCCTTCATTTATAATAAATATTAAAGGGATGAGCTTATTGGTGAAAGAGATATAGCCCCTAAACCAAGAATAATAACGATATTTAGTTAGGAACTAATGCACAAAAACCCCTATTGCTAATGACCCCTATTTTTAATTGGGTTTGGGATATTATGGTTTAGTTAAAATTAGAAATAATTTTGTCTTTTCATTCGATTCAACAATTTAATCTGATCTTATATATAAAAAGAAGATATTTTGACTTATAACCTAGAAACAACCCTAGACCCTTTTTAGTAATTTCCTATTTTTGAAGTTCATTTTTTAGATAATGGTTCGTAACTTCTCTTTAACCTCCACGTTTATGCTAGCACATATTTGACACGTTCCTTTTTATGAGTTTTTTACATAACTGCATTCTGCCTCTCTGTTACCGGAAATCCTCAAAACGGGTCAGAAATATCCTCGCCTTTATTTCATTCACAAGAAATCTCAGTTTTTATTGAGTATTTTTGTCTGTCCTAGGCCAATCAATCATCTGCATGTGGTATTTTTTCTTTTTAAGAATTCTGGATTTCTTTTGTATATTATGGATGCAATTTTGTATGATCGGTTGTTTAATTTGTAGTAGTCTGTGCGAAAAAATGATTAGTTTTTATTAATCCACGTCTGAATTTTTTTTTGGTTTTTTTTTTTGTTGAAGGATTTCTTCGGGTAAATCTACAACTTCCAGACAACTAAGTGGTCTTTGTTGCTCTACTTATTTTGCATCTTTGCTACAGGTAAGTATCAGATTTCTCTTCTTCCCGGTCTTTTGTGTGAATTTTTTCTTTCTCAAAACACCCACTTTGCATTTTCTTCTTTTGCTCTGTAAGTCGAATTCACGAGGTTTGTCGTCATTTTGTAAGTCAAATTTCACGAGAGGTTCGGTGTGCACGCAACACGGTTGATGAAATTACCGCTTCACGCAGCAACTGTGTGAACGAAATTCCACATCATGAAATCCCTCTCTCTCTCTCAGAAAGTTTCATCAGTATGTGCTAATATCCTACTTCAATTCATAAGCTATTTTTTATGTTTTTTCATTTCCTTTTTTGATTGTGGGTACATGGTTATTATCTCGGTGGAGCTATTGTAGGAGTGATTGGCAGAGCGCTAACTGGTAAAACATAGAAGTGCTTGCAAACATTATTATTATTATTATTATTATTATTATTATTATTAAACTTAAACCTAAATATGGAGGCAATTTTGTCGATGAATATTTAGGTAGTTTTATTTTATCTATTTACTTTAATATCGGATAAAGAAAAAAAATGAAAAAAAAAAACGCCCACTTTTTCAATTTTTTCCTTTAACTGAACCATCCACACGTCACCTTCTTATTTTTCATATTTTTCTGAACTTTTTTTTATAACTTCTCAATTTCATCTCACATAACTCTTCCACAAATTCTTAATGCCCCGAAAACTGAAGTTAGAAGTAGCCATCGAAAAATCCTCCAAAACTCTTCAAGATTCGTTTGGGAGTGGGAGTAAGAGGAGCCTTCGCACAACCGCTCATAGGCCGTCGGCGAAAGCGACTTGCAAGAGTGGTCGACGGCACAATTTGGAGTAAGGATGTTTTTTCCAACTGAGAGGAAACAAAATTTTGGTTTTTCTTTCTTTAAGGCGTTCGAAAAACATGAACATATAATAACATGAACATTTGAAGAAACTCCGATCCAAACTCTTCTGGCGGACCGAAACAAAATTTCATTACATGCCCGACACCGTGTCAGAGCTTGTCCGTCTCCGATTGGCAGATTCTATATAATCATTATACTACTTCCTTTACTGATTTCATCACAAAAATGAAAGAAGGTTGATGTAAGTAAACTCAATGAAGACTAGTTCATCCAAATTACTTCAACCTGAAAGTTGGGACTAGCCAAGCTCTCAAAGTGTTTTATATTCCGTGCGACAACTCGAACTCGAAGGCCTACGTTGTCAAATTCTTCTTGTTCATCCAATATTCTCTTAGCATAAATGGCAGCTGTCTTGCTACAATACTGTACCCGAATCGATTGAAGCGTTGGTATTTCTCCAATATCTGACGGGATCTCCTCCAACCTATCCAAGTGTCGGAGATCAAGTTGCTCAAGGGCGTGGAAAGTGGGCGCTCTCTGTCGTCCACCGTTCTAGGTCACTGCAGTTACAGATTTGCACGAATTTAAGGTTGCAGAATTGCCCTTCAACCGTTTCCCACTCGGTTCCTACAAAGGAATTTGCCTTCAGTTTGATGAGGACTTGAAGATTGGGTAACAAACCTATCTTTGTCTTCATGTCTTCCCAGTATAGATTGGTCCTGTGCAAAGTCAACTTCTTGAGCGAATTCGGGAGGATGAAATTGCGCAAAACACCGTCCCGGTTCGGCCTTATTCTTTAGTTTTTTGTGTGATGCAAACGAAAACAAAGAAAATTGAATAGTATTATTATTTTTATGTTTTTTTTTTTCTCAATTGTTGTTGTTTTGCTCTTTTTTCCATATCCATCTACTACCTCATTTTTTTATATATATATATATACTTAAAGAATATGAATTTTGTGGAAACTAAATTATGAGATATACCTACCTCTTCTCAATCGTGAAAACTATTGTTTCGTTGTATTGACCAACTTCTCAATATTACATATATTTACGATATATTTTTTGTGATGTTCTTGATTACTTTCAATATATTTATAATATAAATAATTATTTTCTTCTCTCACGGGCATGGTTTCTAGTAAATATAAAATACATCATAAGGTCCTAATGTTTTATATAATGACTTTTTTGTCAATTAGAAATAACACAGGCGTCTCGGCTATTAGCTCGTTATTAATTGCGTTCACGAAAAAAACATCATATTACGAAATAGGAGTAGGTTAGAGAGTGGTACGATGTTAGCGCATTTTAGCACATTCACACGCATAGACAAAAAACATCGAACAAAACGTAGGCAAAAGACATTAACACAAAATCAAATCCCCCATCAACCCTGTAAACCCAACACAAAGGGCGAAAACATCCCATTTCTTGAAAAGTCTAATTCGGGAAAGAAATCACAATACGAGAGAGAGAGAGAGAGAGAGAGAGAGAGAGAGAGAGAGAGAGAGAGAGAGAGAGAGAGAGAGAGAGAGAGGGGGATGGGGTTGTTTGATTTGGAAGAGCAATTTGCATTCTATGGAGCTTACCACAGCAACCCAGTAAACATAGTACTACACATGATCTTTGTCTGGCCGATTGCGTTCACATTTATGGTTCTTTTGTATTTTACGCCGCCTCTGTTAACCCACCCCCAATTTGATTTTTGGGGTCTTAATTTCTTGATCTTGAATTATGGGTTCTTGTTTGCTGCAATTTACGGCGCGTACTATGTGATTTTAGACAGAAAAGCTGGCTCTTTTGCTGCTTTCTTGTGCTTTTCTTGTTGGCTTGGTAGCAGCGCTCTTGCTCATCGGCTCGGCTTCTCTTCGGCTTGGAAGGTCATTATTTTTGTTTTGTGTCTTTTAATTGCATTTTATTTTTATCAAAATTTGGCTCTTGATTAATTTACTCTTACATTGAATGAATTCTTATTGAACAAAGATAAATCAGCTGTAAGAATTTAGGAGTTACAAGAATCAATGTTGAGGGTAAAATTGGAAAGAGAAAAATGAATTAGAATGACAAATATTCTGGGAAAAGTTTTTGATATTAACCGAAACATCAATTTGTTTTGCGCATTTATTTGTCGGCATCGTTTGATATTTTTTTGTTTTCTAGAAAACTAGGACATGCAAAGTGTGTGTTATTGGATTGTTTCCGTGTCCTATACGATATTCTTTATGAGTTGTAGAATTTGTTATTTCCGTTTTGATTTTTTTGTTTTTTGTGAAGATATTGTCCTCAATTATATGTTGACCGCGCGCGCCCGTAAAGCATTTTTTTCCCGCCAATAATAGTTGGTTCCTTTGGTATCAATCCTTTATCTATTACCAATCCTTTGTTATAATAGTTGGTACCGAATGGTTATAATTTCATAAAGTGAGCTGTGATTGTTAAAAACGTCATCGTTGGAGATTGTTTATTTATATATTCGCTTCCCTTTAGTGTGGTAAAGGTGCAAATTACTATTGAGGGTTTCTCTTTTTTCGTTTTTTTTTTCTTGTATTATTATTCCTAACCATGAAATATTTTGGAGAAAATGCATATTGGCTATGATTGAATCAAAGAAAACGAGTAAATTAGTGGTAAAATATTCTCGTTGTTTACTCATTGTTTCCCATCGTAGATTTTTGGCGATGGGATTGGGGAGAATGTATTTGAATTGATCGTTTATCGGCTTACATTTTATTTCTAGGGTCTCGTCTTATTAACCGTCGCACCAATGTTTCATGATATGTTATATTGTTGTTATTTCAAGGCAATGATCGAAAGATATATTAATACATACAATTCGAATAATTCGTACAAATTTATTAATTTGATTTATCAGTCGTGTATTCTTTCGTTTTTGTTATTTCGAATGATTTAAAGATATACAACTATGAGAGAAATGTTTGGGGAAAGCATCGTAAGACAATTCAGAAATGATCGTTATTCCACGTAAAATTTTAATTACTTTCTGACTGTTTGACGATCGTTGTACCAGGTTGTTCTTGCATCTCAGATACTGTGCTGGACTGGTCAGTTCATCGGCCATGGTGTGTTTGAGGTGATTATTCGGACGAATTATCATCCAGCATTATTTAACTCTTTTATTTATTTTGTTTTTGCTCAATATTTTTGGCATATATATAATATAAAATAATTTTTGCAGAAACGAGCGCCTGCTCTGTTTGACAACCTTGCTCAAGCATTCCTCATGGCACCATTCTTTGTGCTGCTCGAGGTACATTATATATATATTGATAAATTTTTATTTAACGATTCAGCAAATTATAACTAATTATTGCGTGTGATCGAAAGGGACTGCAATCTGCGTTTGGGTACGAGCCGAATCCGGGATTTCATGCTAGAGTACAAGCTAAAGTAGATGCTGAAATCAAAGCTTGGAAGGACAGCAAACTCAAGAAAAAATCATAACAAAATTGCTGGTCTACATGCACATACAAGATCATATGTATGTATGTATGTATGTATGTGTGTGTGTGTGTGTGTGTGTGTGTGTGTGTGTGTGTGTGTGTGTGTGTGTGTGTGTGACTTATTAATCCAACGTTATTAAGCATTAATTTGCTCTCACTACCTCATTAAATGTTATTTTGATCTCTCTTTTTTTGTGTCTTTAATAAGATTCAACCATATTTTTTTTTCTAATGTGTGTAAAATCTTTAAACGACATGTATAATGGAAATATTATGGAACAAAAAGTAATGTCCAATGAAATGTGTATAACATGAAATGTTTCATCTTCCATGTCCATTTTATTTCTTCTTTTTTTTAGTTTTTTTTGTTTTTTTTTTAATGAACGAACCCGCACCAATCATATAAGTGCATTAGGTAAACTTACAGTCCTCCTGTATAATAGCTTGCAAATCATATGAGAAATGTAAACAATACTAGGTAGACACGGCCACAGGCCGGTTTTGGGCCCGGAACCGGCCCGTTGACGGCCCAAACCGGCCCGTTGACCGAGTGAACCGGCCCGGCTAGTGAACCGGCCGTTATTAACTTTTTTTGGAATTCCCCCCCCCCCCCCAATTTTATTTCATTTTCCTTTTTCTATTTAAAAGTACTTCTTTTAATTTACTTATTCATAAAATATTTCAAAAAATCATTTTAAATTCGAAATCTTTAAAATTTTGAATTTAAAATTAAGTTCAAGTCTTTTCATTTATTTCCTTTTCCTTTTTCTATTTAAAAGTACTTCTTTTAATTTACTTATTCATAAAATATTTCAAAAAAAAAAAAATTCAAAATTTTCGGGCCGACCCGGAACCGGTTCGGATAGGCCCGGAACCGGCCCAAACGGCGGGCCGACCCGGCCCGCTGAACCGCCCATACTACGGGCCGGTTCCGGAAAATGTGAACCGTGAACCGGTTTGAACCGGCCCGAACCGGCCCGTGGCCGTGTCTAATACTAGGCAATAACTACAGTGTTGGAATTTTATGCACTAAAATAAATATATGCAATTTTGATGCAAGTTTACGTGACATGGAGAATTTTATGCAGTTTCCGAAACCTTTTTAGTTCTTCGTTCTGATCGTTCGAACCAAACAACGATCTGATTTAGGTTGTTCGAGAAATTTACTTGTTGTAGGAAAAACTAAATTTGGATCCAATTCTTGACACGTTTTGACTTGGACATTGAGGAATGGATCATGTAATGAAAGAAGAAAAAAAAAATGATAATTAATATTATGGTTAAATACGAAAACACCCCTGTACTATGGACTTTGTATCATATACCTCCTGTACTACACATAAATACAAAAAGGGCAAATTACCAAAACCCCCCTGAGGTAAGTCTGAATAACGGAAATCCCCCCCACGTTCTCGTAATTACGAAAACCCCCCTGAGGTATGCAGACATCTTACAAATCGCTCTAACGGTGTTAAACTCGATAGAATCTTTTTGATTCTCCCGAATATTCCTCCGATAATACCAATTTTGCCCTTGTACACGAAATTACCCTTAGGGGGGTAATTGTAAGCATTTTATAGCTTTTTTATAAAGGCTATTAATTGTAAGCAT